TAAACCCAGTAGAATAATGTTCTAATATAGCATGCCTATAATTTACCACCCGACTTATTTTCATATTCCGAGTGTCTTCATCATTTTCAAATGAGAAAATAAAACTATCCGTTGTACAATGATCATATAAATTCTTATCATTAAATGAAATTGGACGAAATTTAAATCCGATGGGACTATATCCCCCAAAGATTTTTTGCGAACCTTGAACTTTGATCAAAACTAAGCTTGCCACTTGTCCATGACCAGTACATTCATCTTTAATTGTACGATCATTAATTTGATCCCCGATACAACGATAGATTAAGCTAAACTTATACTGCGAATCCTTGGCATTACGAAAAATCTTGGCATCTTTTTTATCGATCCAATTGACAATAATATTCACAAGTTTTGGTTTAATTATCTTTGATATTAATTTTCCTATGCGAGGCGGCAAGGTTATCGTTCTCGGTAATGTACCTTTATAATGAAATTTCTCAACCTCTTCATAAATATTTTTGGGAATAACGGACTTATAAGGACGGACTTTATCAAAAAAATCGGCACGAGAAATTTCCATAAACCGAATGAGAGGAATCAATTGACTTAACGTTGCCTTCAACGCTTTGAAATTCTCTTTATTCCATCTAGATTTATGAATTCCCAATTCAGGAGTCTGTTCAATACCCCATTTGATTAAATTATCCCAAATAACAATTTCTTCAACCTGAAAATCATCCTGTTCAAGCATGCAATGAAGGATGTTCTTATCTATGGATGGGAAGATTGTCGAAGTTATAAATGAAAGTGGGTCGTCAAAGATCGATTCAAGACAATAATCTTGTAGTTTCTTGCAGCTTGCTACCTTAAACACAGTATGAAGCACGAGAACAAAATTTTGTTGGATCCAACTAATATGATTTTCAAATAAATGATCTTGAACATGATTTAATAATTCCTCGAGGAGTAATTCATCAGAAGCAATTAATAATCCAAGGATATCTTCACTCGTATGATTGGTCAAATTAAGTTCACCCATGTAAATATATCTTTAAAATAATAAAATTTATTTGAATTACAATCGAACAAAAATAGTACATAATTAAAAATGTAATTTACCTTAAAATCATGTCAAAAACT